TTTTTTTTTTTTTTTTTTTTTTTTTTTTTTTTTTTTTTTTTTTTTTTTTTTTTTAGATAGACGACCTACCTTCGGTAAATATGCCACTTTTCCTGGTAACCAGAGTCGTATACTTTCGACACGGCTACAGCATAGATGCCGTAAGTCTTTCCTTTATCGTTGACTATTCCCGTTTCGATTATTTCGACGTTCAAATCGAAACGACCCTGCTGAAGCTTTTTTATAACGCTTTGATCACAAGCACCATCGTCGAGCCTGAGAAATTGATCCGCATTGTTTTCAATCAAGGTATCGACCACATCTTTGCCTTCGCTTATGTTGTCAGATTCCCCTGCACCCTGACGCGATTGCCTATCTTCTCGACTGTCGCGACTACTCCTACTGCCTCTTGATATTCTATCGTCCAAGTCATCGCAAGAACTGGATTTGCTTTTGGTTTCTCGACTGATTGAAATTCCTGAAATTTTTTTTCATTAGTACAAAATAATCAGAGTTACCTCGTTGACTGTCTTGCAGAATAACTTGATTCACCGTCGATTTTCGATTTTTCGCCATCCTTTTGATTCTCAACATGCTCTTCCAGTACATCAAGTTCGTTGTTAATACTCGACAAACTAATACTGTCCAATGATTTGGAATCATCTTCCGAGGTCGGGTCTTTTAGGAGGTCTAGTTCTGCCAATAGCCTTAAGTACGAGACCGACCTTTTGAACGCCGGCAGGAATTTGTCTTCGTTTTGAAGTTTCTCGTAACAGCAAGCCTGCAGCTCGTCAAACCACGTCTCCTTTACCGACTCAGTTTTAATTCTAACAACCAAATTTTTTACAAGATTATCATCCAATTGCAGTTTCGAGGAATTTTTGTCGCTGAGATATTGCTGATAAATTTTTGTGGCCGCCTCTTTTAAATTTTCTAGATCTGAATTTTTCTTTTTTGACAAGCTATAAAGAAAAATTATACCTTACATTTAGCACTGGAATCAATATGAAATTTTAATACGAAAGTAAAGACGTTAATCCCTTGCCTCGATGACGAAGAAGAACCCGTTTGGGAATTTTGTAGCTTTTGCAACTCAATATCGGATATCTGTTGTTCGGCAGACACTCGCCAGCCATAGATATTTAAGTAAAAGTACAGATAGGCTTCGGCACTGACACTTGTCATATAATCGATAAAGTAACTCAGAGCTATGTTATTTTTTAATAATTCATCCAAAGGCAAATTAACTGAAATTCGGGAAAAAAAAAAGTTATTTTTATTTGCACACCTCAAAAATTGATAGCGTTAATAAAAAACAAGATAGCCTCATACCTAATTTATGACCTGGCACAAGCAGTCGATTCCAGTCGGGAAGGGGACCAGCCCCGTCGCTTTCCGATGCATCTAGGCCTTCCTTCATACTGATAATTCGACTATCTAAAATTTTTTTAACATACAAGAGGCTGTTCAGCTGCTGTTTGACAGTCAAGTCATCGTCGTGGCCAGAATCTTTTGATCGTAAATACGCTATTTCTTTACAAACAATACTTTTTGTCGCCGCCAACTCTTCTAAACTATCTGTTGTTCTTATTACAGTTAAAAATATGTCACTCCGCAGAGTGGCCTCCTTTGTGCACTGAAAGTAAATTTTCAAATCTATTTGACACTAATCAAACTAAATGAATTCAAATGCACCACATATTTTTACAAGCACTCACCAGCCATATAAAAGTCTGATTAATATAATCAGGGTCTGAAAAGAGGTCTAGGAGAGGCCTAATAATGACATTGACCAAGAGCTCCCTCAAAATAAACCGGACAGTCAGACAGTCAAAGTCAGCCTTTGGTAGCAGCAAGAACAATAATACCTCTGCTATTTCTCCCAAGAAGGCGAGCTCTTTGGCTTCATCCGTACATACTAGATCCCTGCATATAAGATTTTTTTCCATCTGTACTTCCAGGTCAAAGAATATCTTTTCCAACGTTTCGGTTTCCTTAACATTTTTCGTTGGCTCGTTCAAGGCCGTTAAATTAGGAATATAAAATTTTGACTGGGAATACCAGAAGACGTCAGTTTCGCTCTTGTTTCGCCTATGAGTTGGAGTTTTCTTTGGTGTGCCACCAGACGTGCTCGAACTGCTGCTGACTTTATAAGTCTGGTTACCTTTCACCTGTTTCAATCTTGCCCTTGTCTGTCTGTACAGTCTCATATGAGAAGCAGCATCGTCAACAAGTCTTGTTGTTAAGTAGGGAATCCAATCCACACCTTTTACTCTACAAAACAGAAGCAGTGATGAAAAATAATTTTTTAGAACATAAAATATAATTGATAAATAGACAGCATAAAGGAAACTGATTGTTTACCTGTTTGCTATGTTAATGGCAATTTTTTGGGCAGTGTCTCGAACAGATTTGGTAAATTCTTCGTCATTAGTGAGGACACTGTACCAGGGCTCAACATAATCTCTCAGGACAAAATCTAAAATTTCCTAAAATGTATGAAAGATAGGGCATGAGTTGGAAAATACGATCCAAGCTAATACGTAAAAGGAAAAAAAAGATCGACGTGTTTTTATACGCACTTGCAATGACTCATCAATGACTTGACTGCCAGTGACTCTTTTATCTGAAGTAACTGTCACCTTTTTTTTAGATTCGCCCAGAAGACGCTGAAAAATAGTAATATCTCATGATAAATTTTACGCTCAATTAGAGTACATTTGTTCAATGGATTATTAAATCAAAAATCATACCTGACGGAGTTTCTCTGTTTTTTGAAATAAATTTTCCCTACCGACCTTGACGTCATCCTCGAGTTTGAAAGAATTGTTTCGGTATATACAAGTAATGACTCTAAAAAAAAAAAAAAAAAAAAAAAAAAAAGCTAGTGTATATATACGAATGTACGTGCGTGTGCGTGCGTGAATCATGTATATCGATTTTCTTCTCTCTGCGCGCGGAGAGCGCGTCCCCCTTACTTACTTGTCCTCCTCCCCTTCCGTAATAGTCCTTTGCTCGCTCCGGTTTTATGTACCCTTGTATGGTGTGTGTGTGTGGGGCTCCAGAAGGATATAGATGCGGTGCCACTACCACCATTACCACAGGAAGGGAAGAAAAGAGAGCCCGAGGGCTTGTCGTACATATAACGTAGTAATGTACTTGTGTGTACACCAGAGTCGCAAAAATGTTGGATCGGCTGCTACAGTGTATATGTATGTACGTGTATAAAATTATACTTACGGCGCTGCTGAGTTTTTCCGAATCGGCCGCGTGTATGTGGATGTTTTGCGCGCAACCAACGCGCTCCTCCACCCATCACGTACTACTTTGAAAATTGAAAAAAAATTTCTTAGCTCTGCGTCCCTCCTTTTTTTTTTTTTTTTCGCGCAAGGTATATATACATCTTAATACACGAGCTTCTCGTTTTTTTTTTTTTTGGGAAGAATAGACGTCGTCGACAAAGCCGCGGGTACGGAATCCTTTTCCCTTCCACCGAGGAGGAGCCAAGTGATGGCGGGGGGAGGGGGGAGGATACAAGTGCGTCTTTCAACCGTGTTCTCCTCATCCGGCCCGCTGCATCCCAAATCCACTCCACCGCCACCCTCGCCGTCCCTTTGTCTCTTCCCCCGTGCGCTCTCCCCCAGCGGATGCGAGGTGTGAATTTTTCATTCCCAAAATTTCAGTCGACCTCCTTGGGCTGAGCCACGAAAAAATCCCACCCCGCGTCCATTATCATATTGGCACAGCGGCTGATTAGGCAAAAACAAACCACCCCCCCTGTACGTTCTATTCAGTATCGACCCCCCCCCCCCTTGTCTTGCCGCTGACTCCGCTCGCGAGAGTGAGATCGTCACATACAACGGTAGGTCCTTCTTCGAGGCTCCTCGATTCGCCTCCTTTTTTAATGACTACACTGCACTTGCACCCCCTCATCTTTCTTTAGCTTTCGCGCGCCATATACATTGTGGTGCGCGCGCTTTGAGCTATCGTTCCGCAGAAGCGTTTCTTTGATTCGTACATAATGGGTATACAGCAATTGGGATTTTTTTTTTTTTTTTTTTTGTTGCGGCGCTCCAACAATTACACAGGAGGTGCTGAAATAATTGCTCGGTTGCGCCTCGGATTTTTTTTTTATACGTAGGTACAACGTTTCTTGCTCTTGAGAGAGTGGCGAGAGATGTCTACAGTCTCCCGTTTCAAATAACAACACTGAGGTGATTTTTCGCAGTTGTTTATGTATACCAAATTTATTGACAGCGAAGAGGAAAAATAAACACCATCCGCCTCGTAAAATATATATATATATATATATATGTGTGTATGACATATTTAGTGTGTATACGTGTATATTATAGATCGCCGATGAAATGTTACAATGGATAATGTACGCGTATATGTACACCGAACGGAGAAAAACAAAAAATTAATTTTACAATGGATTATACGAACTACGTATTATTATATATACATTTTACATCGATGTACAATTATGCGTTATTACCACGTACGTGGTTATAATATATACTTGTTTGCGCGTGGTGTTGCTTACAGTAAAATACAAAATGAACAAAACGTTGCAAGCATTCACGTATACTATCTACCGTTTCGACGTACAAACTCGTTCGTTCGTTATCTCTTTCTTTCGTCTTTATCAATCTTATTTACAACAAATGATATTTACAACGTCGTCGTTACACATTATGTTAATTGTGGTTTTGGCATTGCGCGCGTTTGTGTGTGTGATCATCACCAAAATAATAAACACGATTTGAACTTGATTTAAAATCCCTAAAGGAACATTATTGTAAACAAGTTTAATCAACAACTGTTGGTGATTCGGGGTACAAAAAAACAATCGCAATCTTAATTGATACTGGATTTCGTATAAAATTGAAAGTAGAGCAATTTTATCAAAGAATCACAATTAAGTAGTAACATAATTTATAATTTTGATAGCTGGAATTTATGAATCACGTTTGTTTTAACGAAATATTGGGATATTAATCGAGTAGAAAAATGTTGAATGGACATCTTCAAACATACTATTTTCTCGTTCGGTAGAAAAATTTTTGTATAAAATTAAAAAATTCTCATTATATTACTACGTAATTGATTTTACGAAATATATATATGTACATACGAAAAATTGCTAGTCCAATGGCACTTGAAACTTGGATAAATATTTTTACTAAATCATAAAAGTCGGAGTACCTTAAAAAGTGATATTGACAAATTGAGTTATCGCAACATTGTAACTATTGACTTTATTTTTTTTTTTTTTTTTTTTGATAGACGACCTACCTTCGGTAAATATGCCACTTTTCCTGGTAACCGGACCTTAGTCTTTCTTTACCAACATTTATGATTTTTCTTTTAAAGAAACAATTAAACATACACGTAGAATCTTTTTTTTTTTTTTTTTTTTTTTAAGTTCAGAGCAAAGGATTATTTTAAACTCCAACTAATTACATCATGCGTGGTAAAAACTACTATAACTTTTGTTGGACAGAAATGCGACCGATAATGGATATAATGAATTGACAAAAAAAATTAATATTACAAGATGCTTCATGAATCTACTACAGGGCTTGTAATACTGAAGTAAGTAATGAATAAACATTACTAAACCGCAAGTAATATAGACTAAAGCCTCACTTGTAATTTTACTACATTCATTATTGAACAGAAATGCGACCCATATCAAATATAGTAAAATTATGAGATGATTTGTAGATTTTAAATTTTTTACAGTATTACAAGTTATTTGTACTTTTGCGATAACTCATTTTGAGAATTTACATAAAAAAATCGACAAGGTGGTAGTAACTTTACAAAAAAATCTTTTTACTGATGGGTAGGTATACACTTATTAAAACACGTAATTACGATAAAATTAAATGCCGGTAAAGTAGAAACCATTTGAGCCGTCAGACGCTATTTTAAAAATAACTGTGTATCATAGAAAAGCTGTCATAAATTAAATTCGTAAATAACTAATATTTATTAACAGAACCCGTTTTTACAATTTAAAAATGCTATAAGTGTACATCGCTTTCATATGTAACGTTTATACCTATGAATCGGGTAGCACAGAGTTGCATACTTGTACTTTACCTATACAGGTCTCTGTCTTAAAAGAGATCAAAAAAGTTTTTTCGTCAATGGTCATAATTTTTAAAATTTATTTTAATACCGATACGTTTATTTCAGCCCCATGAAGGCCTGATTACTGAACCCTTGCACTTGGAATTCTTTTTGGTCTCCATTGCCTTACCGCTCAGCAGTGAAGTCAATGAAAGCGCAAAGTACATTTCTAACAAACTCTTTTTTTCCGGCTAAGTCTTGATATCAACGACACTTGTTCCCTAGAATCACCTTGAATCTTGACGTTTAGATGAAAAGATATAACCTTTTACCCCTTTTCTAGTCAACAATTACAACTAATTCAACCGCACCTAACTGCTTACGCACGTGATTTAATTAAATATAAATTTTTAATTCAAATTAATTTTTTCGTTAAAAAAATAACTAAGAGTGTATCAAACAAAATGATTACGTGCTACATTATACTACATTGGTGTGCATAAAAAAATTGTTTTGTGTCTAATCCGTACCAAATTCGCTTTCAAGAAATTCAGCAAACCAAAAAAAGTAATTGATCTGTCATCAATAAAACCAAAGAAAAGTACGGGTAAAAATCTTATCACTCAGTCATCTCACGTCGTCATCACATATTCTCACACTCTAGTCCCAATATCAGGATTTCGTCTTGCTCTTCGCCTTAACACGAGGCGACACAGAGTACATTTTCCTAAAAATGGACACAAGATCCGTCTGCGGAAACAGATTTTCAACAATACCTTCAAGCAACACATAAAGCAGTCGTCGATTGAGCACAGGCCTCTGAAACAGCTCAAAGACGCGTAAGAGGCCGCGCCGCGTCGTCTCGCTGCCAATGATATGTTTTAACTCGTCAGACAAACACGAGAGCAGGGCCACCTTCGCGGCCACGCGCGTTCGGTTCTTCGTCTCGGGGTCCCGGACAGGTTTGGAATCGGCCAGCACACCGTTCGGCCAAAAACTTTGTCTGCAAAGATATATTTTTTGACGTGAAAAACAACGTTATTGATAACCAAAATACAAATTTAAAGGCTCAATGCTCACTTGAAAAGTTTTAGGTAATGTGCCACGTTCTTTGGACTAGTCAATAAAGATACGTATTCAACGATCCGTCGATTTACTATGTCGCCAAACATTGTTCGAATAATCTGTCGTAGTAGCGTAACTATACGACGGCGTAGCCACTGATTTCGATTTTTCAGGTCGAAAATTTCATCCATCAACAAAAGAATGATCCTCAAAGGGATATTATCGTCTGTCTAAAATTACAAGTTAACGCAATCAACAAAAAATGTATTTCATTTAATTACAAATTGTCGATTGAAATAATTACCTCTGTATCGATACCAGCTCCTACTTTGACGCTTTCATAGAAAACACTGTTCTTTTTCGAATTGCCGAATAATTTGCTAATATTATCCATTACGCCATCAACGGTGTTCATCATATTGTCTGGCATATTTTTTACCGTTTGAGTCACTGTTTTCATAGAGGTCTTTAATGGATTCACTATGGTATCAATCTAAAAGAGCAATAAAATATTGTTTAATCAATCACCAAGCCAGTAGTTATTATTATACATTTTATTACTCTAGAGTAATAAAAAATACGTACAGTCCTCGCGATATGTCCCCCAGTGACACCCTTGTCGTAATCTCCCTGTTCCAAGAATGATAATAATAAATTTTGCAGTCCCATGTGGCCCTCCATGATTGCGGGTTTAGTTAGCTGAACCAACCAAGCGTTCAACATGACCATCCGCCTTTCAAGCACCGACCGATCCATGTTGTGAAAAGCTTTCTTTGCGGGAAATGCTATTTTTGCCAGATCAAAATATTTTTCTTTGATTTTTTGGTACAAATCATAAAAGTCGGAGTACCTTAAAAAGTGATATTGACAAATTGAGTTATCGCAACATTGTAACTATTGACTTTATTTTTTTTTTTTTTTTTTTAGATAGACGACCTACCTTCGGTAAATATGCCACTTTTCCTGGTAACCAGAGTCGTATACTTTCGACACGGCTACAGCATAGATGCCGTAAGTCTTTCCTTTATCGTTGACTATTCCCGTTTCGATTATTTCGACGTTCAAATCGAAACGACCCTGCTGAAGCTTTTTTATAACGCTTTGATCACAAGCACCATCGTCGAGCCTGAGAAATTGATCCGCATTGTTTTCAATCAAGGTATCGACCACATCTTTGCCTTCGCTTATGTTGTCAGATTCCCCTGCACCCTGACGCGATTGCCTATCTTCTCGACTGTCGCGACTACTCCTACTGCCTCTTGATATTCTATCGTCCAAGTCATCGCAAGAACTGGATTTGCTTTTGGTTTCTCGACTGATTGAAATTCCTGAAATTTTTTTTCATTAGTACAAAATAATCAGAGTTACCTCGTTGACTGTCTTGCAGAATAACTTGATTCACCGTCGATTTTCGATTTTTCGCCATCCTTTTGATTCTCAACATGCTCTTCCAGTACATCAAGTTCGTTGTTAATACTCGACAAACTAATACTGTCCAATGATTTGGAATCATCTTCCGAGGTCGGGTCTTTTAGGAGGTCTAGTTCTGCCAATAGCCTTAAGTACGAGACCGACCTTTTGAACGCCGGCAGGAATTTGTCTTCGTTTTGAAGTTTCTCGTAACAGCAAGCCTGCAGCTCGTCAAACCACGTCTCCTTTACCGACTCAGTTTTAATTCTAACAACCAAATTTTTTACAAGATTATCATCCAATTGCAGTTTCGAGGAATTTTTGTCGCTGAGATATTGCTGATAAATTTTTGTGGCCGCCTCTTTTAAATTTTCTAGATCTGAATTTTTCTTTTTTGACAAGCTATAAAGAAAAATTATACCTTACATTTAGCACTGGAATCAATATGAAATTTTAATACGAAAGTAAAGACGTTAATCCCTTGCCTCGATGACGAAGAAGAACCCGTTTGGGAATTTTGTAGCTTTTGCAACTCAATATCGGATATCTGTTGTTCGGCAGACACTCGCCAGCCATAGATATTTAAGTAAAAGTACAGATAGGCTTCGGCACTGACACTTGTCATATAATCGATAAAGTAACTCAGAGCTATGTTATTTTTTAATAATTCATCCAAAGGCAAATTAACTGAAATTCGGGAAAAAAAAAAGTTATTTTTATTTGCACACCTCAAAAATTGATAGCGTTAATAAAAAACAAGATAGCCTCATACCTAATTTATGACCTGGCACAAGCAGTCGATTCCAGTCGGGAAGGGGACCAGCCCCGTCGCTTTCCGATGCATCTAGGCCTTCCTTCATACTGATAATTCGACTATCTAAAATTTTTTTAACATACAAGAGGCTGTTCAGCTGCTGTTTGACAGTCAAGTCATCGTCGTGGCCAGAATCTTTTGATCGTAAATACGCTATTTCTTTACAAACAATACTTTTTGTCGCCGCCAACTCTTCTAAACTATCTGTTGTTCTTATTACAGTTAAAAATATGTCACTCCGCAGAGTGGCCTCCTTTGTGCACTGAAAGTAAATTTTCAAATCTATTTGACACTAATCAAACTAAATGAATTCAAATGCACCACATATTTTTACAAGCACTCACCAGCCATATAAAAGTCTGATTAATATAATCAGGGTCTGAAAAGAGGTCTAGGAGAGGCCTAATAATGACATTGACCAAGAGCTCCCTCAAAATAAACCGGACAGTCAGACAGTCAAAGTCAGCCTTTGGTAGCAGCAAGAACAATAATACCTCTGCTATTTCTCCCAAGAAGGCGAGCTCTTTGGCTTCATCCGTACATACTAGATCCCTGCATATAAGATTTTTTTCCATCTGTACTTCCAGGTCAAAGAATATCTTTTCCAACGTTTCGGTTTCCTTAACATTTTTCGTTGGCTCGTTCAAGGCCGTTAAATTAGGAATATAAAATTTTGACTGGGAATACCAGAAGACGTCAGTTTCGCTCTTGTTTCGCCTATGAGTTGGAGTTTTCTTTGGTGTGCCACCAGACGTGCTCGAACTGCTGCTGACTTTATAAGTCTGGTTACCTTTCACCTGTTTCAATCTTGCCCTTGTCTGTCTGTACAGTCTCATATGAGAAGCAGCATCGTCAACAAGTCTTGTTGTTAAGTAGGGAATCCAATCCACACCTTTTACTCTACAAAACAGAAGCAGTGATGAAAAATAATTTTTTAGAACATAAAATATAATTGATAAATAGACAGCATAAAGGAAACTGATTGTTTACCTGTTTGCTATGTTAATGGCAATTTTTTGGGCAGTGTCTCGAACAGATTTGGTAAATTCTTCGTCATTAGTGAGGACACTGTACCAGGGCTCAACATAATCTCTCAGGACAAAATCTAAAATTTCCTAAAATGTATGAAAGATAGGGCATGAGTTGGAAAATACGATCCAAGCTAATACGTAAAAGGAAAAAAAAGATCGACGTGTTTTTATACGCACTTGCAATGACTCATCAATGACTTGACTGCCAGTGACTCTTTTATCTGAAGTAACTGTCACCTTTTTTTTAGATTCGCCCAGAAGACGCTGAAAAATAGTAATATCTCATGATAAATTTTACGCTCAATTAGAGTACATTTGTTCAATGGATTATTAAATCAAAAATCATACCTGACGGAGTTTCTCTGTTTTTTGAAATAAATTTTCCCTACCGACCTTGACGTCATCCTCGAGTTTGAAAGAATTGTTTCGGTATATACAAGTAATGACTCTAAAAAAAAAAAAAAAAAAAAACAGATGGTATAGAATAAATTTTTGAATCATAGATAAGCTTATTTACAAATTTATTTTGGTTCATTAAGTATCATTACCCTAGCGTCAGGACAGCTATGCACGATACAAGTCTTATAAGTGTTGTAAAACTGAAGATGGCAAAGAGCAAGATGAAAATTGCTCCCGCTATCCCGTAATGAGAAACATTCATCTGAAACAATTTTTAATGTGCCTTTTAAAAAAATATGCATATGTTATATAGATACATTAGCAGAGGAACGTCAAATATATTTGAATCATATTTTAATTATTATTTAATTATATCAGACACACATAATCAACGTATTGTAGATAAAACAATGACTAAACCATTTTATGTTATCTTAAACTAGAATCGAAAAGAATTTTGTTATAACTACGTCACGAATTTTTTCGATTGATAATTAATTAGTGAGAAAAAAAATAAACAAACGTTACAAAAAAGAAAATAAAATATATGTAAAAAATGATAATGTCAATGAAGATGTCAAAAATCGGAAGTAAGTAAAAAAGAACAAATAATAATAAACACCTGCTGATAGGAAGACGGCACCCGTGGTAAAAGCCACATTGAACGTAGCGGGACAAATCCATACCTGTCGAATTGTGTGAGTTGTGAAAAAAAATTGCGCAGTACATTATCACAGTTTAAACAAACAGGGGCGTTAACTCCAATTTTTTTTTAACAACATAAACGCGAATTCACGATTTATTCACACATCTAAAATATACTCCAATGTTTAGACAAAAAAAAATCATTCTAAACATTGCATTGAATGCACGCATTTGGATTTCTTGTAATACAACCGTGCAAAATAAGCTTTGAGTATTACCAAATGGCATCGTAATAGCTTTGCATTCCAGTGGTCGAGCGAGTTGTGCTTATTACGAAAACGCGCACCTGCGTGCAGCTATAAGAGCTAAGCCAAAAATAATACTCTTTTTTTTGTAATGCACTGCAGGACTACTACTAACTACAGTTGATATAACCTAGAAACTTCTATTTGTATATTTTATCTGTCTTTTGTTAATTTTTTATTTTTTTCTTTTTTGGAACAATAATCGAATATAGTGTTTATTGTTGCAAAGTGTAAACAAAACAAAATCTTATAAGCGTGAAAAGTAGAAGTCAATCAGTTATAAGTTTAATAATAATGGTTCAAAAATTCAAAATAATGAATCTAAATAGATAATTTAGTAGACCAATTATTATGCGTAATGTATATAAAAAAAGGTGAATGAAAGTGAAAGTTTGCGCCATGTACATGGTGGCCGTGGATCTTCTGCTCCACCTTTGGATACACAATTTTTTTTTAATGCTGCAATTGATTATTTAATTACTTTTGAGAATATAATTAAAAGTTAGACACAACAGAATGGACATGAAAGATTGTAATTTAAATTTTTCCTAGTAATAAATTATCCTCGTACTGATAAGGAGCCGATCGAGTATCATAATTATACTGTAAGTTGATGCACTCGAACTGACTGACCACATTTTTATCTCTATACACCCTCAATGAGTTTTAATCAATCATGAACCGCAAACTTTCGTTTTACTCAATGTTTTCACTGCTGTGGGTCGAATGAAAGTTTATAAATAAGGCAGGGATGCTATTTATTACTTATCACTTGCATAAAAGAAAAAAAAAAAAAAAAGGNAAAAAAAAAAAAAAAAAAAAAAAAAAAAAAAAAAAAAAAAAAGTAACACTGCAACAGGCAATCACAACAGAAAATTTTCACCAACACAACACAGAGAAAGCCACTATCGAGGGACGAAAATGAAGCAAGTATATTCACTGGCGTTGGCTCCTAAAATAAAACAGCGAAAAACCTCCACCGGGAGGCCGATAGCCGATACATCCTGATGACCACGATGACGATAAGTAACTATATACCTTTATAGAGTACTCGTCAAAATGTGCGGGCTGGGCCAAACTACATGTCAAAATAGAAAAAAAAGATTGACGAACAAGAGCAAGAGGAGAAGAAAAAAAACAAATAGGGTATTAAAGAAACGCCTTGTTTTCCTTATATGCTTATTGCTTACCCTGCGATGTCCCGCGAGTGCACCTACGTGTACGTACCAAGTTAAGTGCTTGGTGAGTGTGTAAATAATATAAGTACCTTCGGAGCGCCAGGAGTCGCATGTTAGTTAGCTGACCCTCCCCGAGGAAGCTCGTCATCGGCACGACGACGACGACGACGTCGATGACGCTGTTGTCGAAGTGCTTGACATCACATACACTAACTTATAGGCTAGTCTGCCTTGTGCCTGTACGGTACACTGCTTTATGCCGCTCTGGCTCTCTTTGCTCCACGGCCACGCTCCGTTCACTCCCTGTGTCACCCGTCGACCCGTGTCTCACACTTGTTACTTATCTCTCTTTTTCTTTGCACGATTAAACAGTGAATGTATACTTTAAGTTTTAAGAGTATTCTTTATCTTCTTTCTGCGGGTAGTGCGGGTGTGCAGGTTCTTAGTGATTTTATTTGTTGCCGATCTAGGGACTTTAGAGGCGTGAAAACCGCAAAAGCCAAAAACTAAAAATGAGTAGTGTCGTGTCGGTCAAGTCAAATCAGTGTCGGTATCAATTATAGTTATAAAGAAATTTCAGTCGGTCAATCAGGACGATTGTAAAATCAATTTAATTGTTATTGTATTTCCTTCAGTCTAAGTCTAACTGTTATAAATATTACCAATATGCCGATTATCACTCTCCTAATAAACTATCCCAAAGCTTTACCCTGATTAGCGTTTGCTGATGCTGACCATGCACCGATAATTGTATTTATATGAAATTAACCAATTTACATTAAAATCAAACATATTACTTACAGTTGCAAGTTCTATTTTACAAAAATTTTTTATTTATCCCATGAAAAAATTATTTACATTATTGCATATGATGAAGGACGCAATTAACATTACATTTTAGTTAAAAATGAAAAACATCTTAATTAACTCTTACAATTCGACTTGAACAATACTTGATATTACAGTTAAAATTTGAATGACTATACCATACATAGGCACATGATTTAAATAGCTATAGTCATTTGCTTGGAAGTATCTTAAAAACTGTTGAAAGAATAAGATGACGTTTAAGTACTGTACAAAGTTTCGTTTCGTTGCAACTCTACCCAAAACACAAATCATTGAGATGATAAAAATGAAAAATGAACAATATGAATGGGTGAGCGTAAAATGTTGATTGAAAACGCTCGTGAATATGTGAGAGATGAAAAAAGCACTTCACTCTGACTCGGAGCCGCTTTCGCTGCCACTACCACTAGCACTGCCACTTCCACTGGCACTACCACTGGCGCTACCGGCTTTGCTCGGAGAACCCGAGCGAGAGCGCGACCTCGAAGGTGACCGACCAGGCGAGCCAGAGCCCGACCTGGAAGCCGAGCGAGAGCGAGAGCGGGACTTTGATAGGGAGCGAGACTGCGAAGAACGTACCGAGCGACTCGAGCGCATGGAGCGCGTAGAGCGAGCTTTCGATAGCGATCGAGACCGAGATCTGGGCTTTGAACCAGACTTGCGGCTCGAAGCCTGAGAGGAAGCCGGTGAGGATGAACGAGATCTCTCTTCTTTATTGACCTTTTCGAGTTTTTCTTTATTCTCGTCCTCCTCATTATCCACGTTCTCTTGCTCTGCCTGCTCGTTATCTTCTCTATCCGATTCTGAAAATAAAGAGACATTTAAAAATGCGATTTAAGTCAAACAAAGTACGAATAATTGCAAACACGGTACCTTTTTCTTCATTTTTAGATTCGGTCTTCTGAGGTCCCAATTCTTCTTCTTCCTCTTCCTCCTCTTCATCCTCCTCACAAGGTGGTTCGAGTTGTTTTTCTCGGTAACGCTGCATACGGAATTCTGTGGCGTTCAATGGCCGATGGCGTACGACAAGCCTTGTGTTGTTAGCTGGTTGTCCGACCTTTTGTCTTCGTTTACTGAGTCTCACACGTGTCTCCAATTCATTGTAATATACCTACACAAAAATTAAACAATTTTTTTTATCCTGTGATTATTATTACACCTTGACAAAGAAAAAAGACTTTCAAGCCATTCTTACCCCCTCTTCCCGCATAATGAGGAAGTAATTCTCTTCGTACCCTTTGGAAGCTTTACTTTTAACATTCCAGTTGTATTCTCTAGCCATTTTATAATCATACTCATCATCTTCAGCATAGTCGATTCCAGAACAAAAATCTCGCTTTCTCTTTTCGAGAGTTTCCTCAAACGGTAAGAAGTAAGCAACAAACTGTTCTCCACTTTCATCCATCACACCACTAAAATAAAAATGTTATCAATTAGTTTCTATTTTTGTGAGTAAATATTCATGAAAAAAAGTTTTGCTTGATCACGATTACCGAATCATTGCTTGAGACATCTCTTCAATTTGTGCAGGAACCGAGAGTCCCATAGGTGCTGGATCAGAATCAAAAATAACTTGGGCGCAAGGGTACTTCCACAACTACACATTTGGAAAATCCAAAAATTAAAAACTCCATTGTAATATATTTCACAACGAGGTATACCTTGAAATCTGGGAAAACAGGCCAAATTTCTACAGGATGAACGTTAGCTTTGCTGTAGTGTTTTTCAATGGGCTTCTTATTATCTTCAAATGTTTTCTCTATAGCTTTAATTTGTGAATCACGATCCATACACAATGTTTCTTCCTAAATATTTTAATGAATTGTTAAAAATAACAATCATAGTCAAAGATAAACATTAAACTAATAGTAAAAATAAATTGCATTGGTACTACCTTAAAGTGCTTTTTAATATTATGACCAACTTTTGCTTCGACTTTATCAGATGTGGTTTGAGGTTGAAATCTCGTTTGTTCGGTGGAAATATATTCCGTACGCCTGAGCCAAGAGACACTTTTAGCGTGATGCTTGGATCTCTTTGAATCTTGTGGCATGAGAACATCCTCTTCCAGTAACTTCTCATCCGCAGGATCTAATTGAGCATTTTGATCACTGGTGTAAGTCTCTCTGTTTATCAAATCAATTTCAACTCCCAAATCGTGCTCTGTGAGTACCTCATATTTATAATTCCGCTCTAGAGACGTCGGATTGTACCGAATAAACCTACAAAGGGACATTTGGTTATACAAAAAAACCAAGCTGTAGTTAGTTGAATAAATTGAATGTGCTTCTCTCATTACCTGTTAGCGTCAAATGGATAACTGATAAACTTTGGATCAAACGCAATGTCTGGAAGCGAGTTGCAAAACTTGACTTTGCATATGAGCTCCAATCTAAAAAAAGCGAGAACATCGAAACAAATAAAATGAGGGGCACTAATTATTTACCATCCATATCAATGAGCACAGAATAAAAATTGTAAAAGTAGAAATTAATGTGTTTTAGCAGTAGGAAGGTTGAGGGTTAGGGATGATCACTGTTTACCTTTTCTCTGCAGGTCTTGTTACACTGCGCTTCTCAGCAGCTCCGTTTTGTATGGTTGGTGGCATTGTTATGAGATTCAAGAAGTTTGAGAAACAAATATCACTTTGTCAACCGACAGTTGAAACTCTTCATTTCGTTTGGTACATATACTTAAATTGAAGTCATCAACTACATACCTATTTTGTGTGTGTGTATATATAGTACTGCCGACAGCAGCTCCAATCCATTCTGCTATACTATGTTGTCTGCTCCAATCTCGTGACTCGCGTGACCAAAGCTTGCGTGATCGATGAAAACATATCTCTTGTGTATAGAAACAGTAAAGTTGTAAGGATTAAGCAAGACAAGCGGTCATATTATAAAACAACATATTATAGTGGAGTTGATGATTTTCAGTCTTATTGCGATCAGGTAAAGATTCTAGAGTCAAAAGTCTTTGCAACTTATGGCGGATCGCACGAAAATCATGGAAATCATCCCAGCTTTGCCGGACGAAAACATTGGTGAGTCCTCGGAGCAGCTCTTCCCTAAATATTTAAAAAACGATTTATTGCCTCTAACGCACTTACTTTCATCTTTGTAGAAATGCTTGCTGCAACGAGTATGTTGCAGCAGCAAGCTGCCGACATAAGGAGCCAGAAAATCAATTGGCAGGCTTATCTTCAGTTAGTATATGCACACAGTAATAATTATAATTTAATAACTTTAAGTTTCACATTGTCTCTTGCTCTCCAGATCCCACATGATCTCAAAGGAAGATTACGACTTTATTGTTGCCTTTGATACAAGCGATGTTAATGCCAGAGAGGCCAAGCTCAAAGAAAATCCTGGACAAGCTGCCAAGACTTTCCTCAGCTTGCTTGGACATGTATCCAAAGATCAGACCATTAAATACATCCTTACTATGATTGATGACATACTTCAAGTACTTAATTGTCCTATAAAATCTTAAAAATCGAAGACGCTATTCGCATGATGTCTCTAGACTCTGACGTTTGTTACTTTAATAGGAAAATCGTAGCCGTGTGGAAATTTTTAAGGAACATTCTATCCGCAAAAGAGAATCAGTTTGGGGTCCATTTTTAAACTTGTTAAACAGAGAGGATGGTTTTATTGTAAACATGACAGCCCGCATAATCGCAAAATTAGCCTGCTGGAGTCACGATCACATGGAAAAAACTGACCTTCAATTTTATTTGACTTGGCTGAAGGATCAACTCAAGATCAGCGTAAGTTTTTTAATTTCCAATTTGTCTTTGAGAAATTAAAGTACTTTTTTACTTGCGAAACTTTAGCGTTTTATGGTTTGAGCTTGTGATTTAGAAATGTTGATTTTATCTCACTATTTTATCCATAGTAGTTCCATCAATCTCTTTCATTCCACGTTTTATTCATGTGTCTGTTTTTTGTGTTACTAATTGCAACTACGAATTGAGATTAACTCATCACGCATGCTGTAAGATAGATAACTGCTGGTTCTTTGCACGATATTTTATTCAAGCTTGCTTATTCGTTTGTATAACGTTTTCATGCAATTAATTACTTTGATAAAAAATGATGTAAATTAATTGCTTTATAATGATCTAACTTGACAAAAACAAAAATTGCGTGACAAATTAGAAAAAAATATCAATTACACGATTCTTTTCTAAAACAGCTTGTAAGTGTTGCTTACTTGCTCCATGATAAAATAATTATTTTAATAAATAACAGAATAAGTCTAAGTAAGTAGGGGATTTTTTAGTTTGAAGCCCTACCAGAGAGAAGCATGCATGCTGACATAATACAAGATGACCATTCCACTGAAGCTGGAGAGGCCAATGAGCTGCATGAATTGCTCAACCCGGTCGGTTTAGTAACACCGCATAATTAATTAATGGTTGATTTCCTAATAACTAAGTATTGAAACGCCAAGTTTTTTTTACAAAAATAATTGACGAAGAATTCCTTTCGTACAAAGCCGATGGCATTAACATTTCATTCTTGAATAGCTGTTGTGCTTGCTTCATTTTTTTTCTTCTTCCTAATAAGGAGTATTTTCCTGATGCAACTTGCATGATGATCACTCATAAAAATGACATTTAAATTTTTTATTTAAAATGCATGCATCTACCATTGGAAACATTTATTGAAATAAATAAGTAAATGAAGAACAAACGAATAGACTGGAGACAAAGAGTGCAAATAAAAATTCAATAAATATTAATTATATGATTCAGAATAACGATTACATTCAATCAGCCGCAAGATGTCTGCAAATGATGCTTAGAATAGATGAGTATCGGTTCACCTTTGTGTCAGTTGATGGAATTTCCACTCTCCTGAGTGTTCTCTCTGGCAGAGTTAATTTTCAAGTCCAGTACCAGCTGATATTTTGCTTATGGGTGCTCACCTTTAATCCTTTACTTGCTGAAAAAATGAATAAATTCAACGTCATCGTCATACTTGCCGATATTTTGAGTGATTCGGTTAAAGAAAAAGTCACGAGAATCATTCTTGCAGTATTCAGAGTAAGTTAATTCTAACATGTTTCATCAAGGAACCTCCTCCAGTTTGGTCATTCATCTTGATAATATTACGAAAATTTCTTTAGAACTTGATTGAAAAAGTAGAAGATTCACAAGTTGCAAAGGAGCATTGCATTGCCATGGTTCAGTGCAAAGTCTTGAAACAATTGTCTATCCTCAGCCAAAGAAAATTCGATGATGAAGATATTATGGATGATATTGAATTTTTGAATGATAAATTGCAAGCGTCTGTCCAAGATTTGAGTTCGTTTGATGAATACGCTACAGAAGTAAAATCTGGTAGACTAGAGTGGTCACCTGTTCACAAGTCTGGGAAATTCTGGCGAGAAAATTCGGGTCGTCTTAATGAAAAGAATTACGAACTGCTTCGCATATTAGTTCATTTGCTGCAAGTCAGCAAGGATCCTTTAGTATTGAGCGTTGCTTGTTTCGATGTTGGAGAATACGTCAGACACTATCCTAGAGGCAAACAGTAAGTTATTATTATTTATTTTTTATTTTATTTTATTTTTTTAAATATTGATGATCAATAAATTGAGCGTTATTTACAGCATCATTGAGCAACTGGATGGTAAGCAGTTAGTTATGCAGTTACTCAGTCACGAGGATCCCAATGTTAGATATGAAGCACTTTTGGCTGTACAAAAGTTAATGGTACACAATTGGTACGTTGAACTATTAGTCATTGCATTATTGATCGCTCTTGTCAATAACTAAAAAAAAAAAAAAATTTCAGGGAATACTTAGGAAAACAATTAGAAAAAGAGCAAACAGGAAGTAATGGGGCTAAAGCAGGAAATCTGGTGCCAGCTAAAGCTTAATTTTGAAAAAACTCGAATTTATTTAAATCGAAGCTTAAAATTTGTAAAATTTTGTTATTTCATTTAAAATATTTTTGTTTTAATAACTTTTTAATTAAGAATTTAATTAGAAATCTCTCAGTATTTTAGTTTAATAATTTTAGCATTAATACGTGTGTATTGTAAATATAAAGAATGTCGCTCAAATATCTGGTTTACTTGAAACATTTCGTAAGAATATGAAAATTCACAATATTTGTCCAAACAATAATAAATGTAATATACTCTTTGAAGTATTGTGCTATCATCAACGGTGATAATAGGTAGGTAAATTACATCGCAAGGCCATTAGTACTATCTTATCTATACTTCATCAAAAATATTTTATTGTTATCTTAAAAAAATAAAAGATTGTTGAAGTACATAATGATAAAAGAAACGATTATTTTATCTATGATCTTAAAATATCATCCATCGTTTTTATTAAAAGAAAGTCTTAGATAACAGGAATTTTTGACACCCGAGGCGAAGCTGATTATTTTTATTGAAGTTTTACAATAATTGTAAACTTATACTTGAAAAAATTCATAATAAAGAGTGTTGAAAATGAAATATTTTTTTTAAAGCTCATTGCAAACGTCTCAGCAATGCAAACTCATTAAAAAGGCCTTTGTGTTCGATGTTAGCGTTGAAAAACGATTATTCTTGATTTAGACATCGATTAAACGTATGTTCCGTGCACAACTGACGATCGATTATATTCACCGGTAAGAGTCATTAAAATATGACGATGAATTTTAAATTTTAAAACTTACAAATAATTCATTGCTATACGAATGTTTTGTATTTACATTCATGTCAATCGATTTTTTCTTATTGCGTTGATATTCTCAGTAAAAGATTCTCAGTAAAAGATTTACAGGCAAAATAGCGAATAAATTTCCGTAATGCACAATTAACTATGTCAACAATTTTTTAGCTTCGTGATGTTAAATTTATCAGTTTATCCAGTCCAAATATTTTACATAAACCGTGATTGTTTAGCAAGAAAACATCGTAAGTAACTGAGGTTTTGCACAAGGATATCGCGGAAAAATAGGTTCATATTTGAGAAATTACTTTTTTGTAACTTGAGAAATTATAATTGCTCCAAAAAATGAAAAAATGCATGTATTATAAAGTAAGAAACATCGTCACTTTTTAAAAGAATATTACGTTTTACTCTGCGAGAATCTAATTCAAGAAAGCTGTATTATTTCAAAAAAATTTTTATAAAGCTAGAAAAGCCATCGCTCTACATGAAGTATTTCGTATAAAAATTATAGATCGTTGAAATATTAATTTTTTTTGTATTAAATATTATTGTTTTACAGTACAATTCGATCAAAAAATAGAGAGAAGCATGCATGCTGACATAATACAAGATGACCATTCCACTGAAGCTGGAGAGGCCAATGAGCTGCATGAATTGCTCAACCCGGTCGGTTTAGTAACACCGCATAATTAATTAATGGTTGATTTCCTAATAACTAAGTATTGAAACGCCAAGTTTTTTTTACAAAAATAATTGACGAAGAATTCCTTTCGTACAAAGCCGATGGCATTAACATTTCATTCTTGAATAGCTGTTGTGCTTGCTTCATTTTTTTTCTTCTTCCTAATAAGGAGTATTTTCCTGATGCAACTTGCATGATGATCACTCATAAAAATGACATTTAAATTTTTTATTTAAAATGCATGCATCTACCATTGGAAACATTTATTGAAATAAATAAGTAAATGAAGAACAAACGAATAGACTGGAGACAAAGAGTGCAAATAAAAATTCAATAAATATTAATTATATGATTCAGAATAACGATTACATTCAATCAGCCGCAAGATGTCTGCAAATGATGCTTAGAATAGATGAGTATCGGTTCACCTTTGTGTCAGTTGATGGAATTTCCACTCTCCTGAGTGTTCTCTCTGGCAGAGTTAATTTTCAAGTCCAGTACCAGCTGATATTTTGCTTATGGGTGCTCACCTTTAATCCTTTACTTGCTGAAAAAATGAATAAATTCAACGTCATCGTCATACTTGCCGATATTTTGAGTGATTCGGTTAAAGAAAAAGTCACGAGAATCATTCTTGCAGTATTCAGAGTAAGTTAATTCTAACATGTTTCATCAAGGAACCTCCTCCAGTTTGGTCATTCATCTTGATAATATTACGAAAATTTCTTTAGAACTTGATTGAAAAAGTAGAAGATTCACAAGTTGCAAAGGAGCATTGCATTGCCATGGTTCAGTGCAAAGTCTTGAAACAATTGTCTATCCTCAGCCAAAGAAAATTCGATGATGAAGATATTATGGATGATATTGAATTTTTGAATGATAAATTGCAAGCGTCTGTCCAAGATTTGAGTTCGTTTGATGAATACGCTACAGAAGTAAANTGCTTAGGAATAATCCTTTTTGATTTGAAATGGAAACTATGAGCACTTCCGAACGTCTGAAAGTTACGAAAATTATAGTTATTTATTTTTACCTTCGAATTCTTCAGTGCTCTACGGAATACGAAGTTTCAAGTCCTGTAGCCTGAACACTCTACTGGCAACTGTAAAAAAGTCAAATATTTACGCTTAAGTATTCCTCTTTGACGACAAAAGACGGACTGCAGCGACGCAAACTTTTCACACTCCGTTATATATTCGCTATGCGCCTATGTCAGGTGGCGCCGTCGAGTGAGAGAAATTGGCCCTCGCTAAGATCGCCAGAATACACGGAGCCTTATAGGGAAGTTTTTTAATAAATTAAAAAAAAAAGGTTACTAAGAGTGGATTGACCAAATGAATCCGTGATTTGATCGTGTATAATGTTAGTGTACAGTAACAAATTTTGTTTGGTGTTGTCATGTGTACTACAAGATTGGAAAAAATAAAAACATAGATTGCGACTATGATAACATAGCATATATATATATAAGTGCATTATACATGCTTACACTTGTGTAAAGCTAATTAAAAGATACAGGATACAGGGTATCCTTAAAGCTTTACACAAGTGTAAGCATGTATAATGCACTTATATAATATATTATATGCTATGTTATCATAGTCGCAATCTATGTTTTTATTTTTTCCAATCTTGTAGTACACATGACAACACCAAACAAAATTTATTACTGTACACTAACATAATACACACTCAAATCACTGATTCGTTTGGTCAACTTACTCTTAATAACCTTTTTTTTTTAATTTATTAAAAAAATTCCCTACAAGGCTCAGTGTATTCTGGCGATCTTAGCGAGGGCCAATTTCTCTCACTCGACGGCGCCACCTGACATAGGCGCATAGCGAATAGGGGCTAAGATAAGATACTTAAGATTGAGCTATAGGGTATCCCCACCAACATAGGTGTCTAAGGCAGGGAGCACGTCATCAGCCTTAATGATGAATCCTGACGTGCTCATAGAGATCTCTATGGGCGTGCTCCCCGCGGGACGAAACATCAAAAAATCTTTTCTCAAGTAGATGACAACGACTCCTACACTTGGGAATCCCCTTATTTTTGGAGCAAAGAATTTCTTTGTCATTAAATGCTCGATCGGTAAGACAACTTAATGCCATTAAACAACTTAACTCTATTGGCTTGAAATAAAAAAATTATAATTGTTAATGGTGATTGTTTTAAAATAAAAGCTAAAAATAATTTATGCGAGAAATAATTTTGCGATATAGGCCATTGGTAAGTACAATATTGAGTATTTATTGAGTAAACCTAAATCTTTCTTATGTTGGCACACTGTGGTACGGTAACGAGTCGTATCACTTGGATACTTCTGTTACAGAAATTCTGTACCTATATATGCATGGACGGGAAGTTTGTGCAGTTTCAGTAAAACATTATATTTACTCCGTCAGAGATGAGTAGTCTACTCATCTCTGCTTACGTGCAAGATACTTATTTAATTGTGATAAGCTAGAGTAAAAGCATTTCTATAGTTTGCTGTTACTTTTAGCTGCAGTACTGCATTATCTGCACGTAAGTTGTAGATGTTATCTCTTCTTTTACATTTTTTTAACAATAGACGAGTTATCAGTTAACAATAATCGCTTGGACATTGAAATAAATTGCAGCTGTGATATTTAATTTTAATTTTGTAATAATAAAATATTTCAACAGATCTATAAAATTTAGAGAACTGCTTAAGTACGCTCGTCCAACAGCATGTTTTAAAACACATTGTACTGTTTATTGTAAGTTGGCTGACAAAACAAATTCTAGAATTGGTTTTTACATCGCAAAAACTGAAATTTTCAAATATTTAGTCAAAATAGGATACATTCAAAACTATTTCCATATTGTAAAACTCTTGGGTATCCCTTAATACAAACACAGAAAAAAAAAGATAAAAAAAGATTTTATAAAGAAACACACTTATTGTACAGTTTTATTATTACTAATCTTTAAAAAAAAAAGCTGCAAAAGATCAAGATCTTTTCTTCTTAAAATCAATTACATTACAAATTAAAAAAAATTATTTGTTGTTTATTTCAAAGGCAAATTTTTTACTCAACGAATTTGGATCAAGGATTTGGATCAAGGAATCCGTTAATGATTGGGTTCTGTTAATTGAATGCTTAACAATAATTGTGATCCTAATTTATATTGAACAACGTAATTTATTTTACTTTATTATTTTATGACATTTCTACAAAGATTTTCCCATAAATTTTCTCGGTAAATTACATGAAAAAAAATTTGATAACACGCGAGCTCCAACTGTTGTGAAGTAATAGTTATTCAATCATTTCAAAGTTACCCAATACTATCTGTAATATAATATACGAATAAAAATCGGATATAGGTACATTACAAAATACTTCAAGAGAAAGCTGAGACACCTCTCACTCACACTTCGTTAGTTGAGTTCTTAGTGACACAAGAGCATCTTAGATATTGGAGCAACATAGTAATTGTGTGTAGAATACGTCAGACACTATCCTAGAGGCAAACAGTAAGTTATTAAATTTTAAAACTTACAAATAATTCATTGCTATACGAATGTTTTGTATTTACATTCATGTCAATCGATTTTTTCTTATTGCGTTGATATTCTCAGTAAAAGATTTACAGGCAAAATAGCGAATAAATTTCCGTAATGCACAATTAACTATGTCAACAATTTTTTAGCTTCGTGATGTTAAATTTATCAGTTTATCCAGTCCAAATATTTTACATAAACCGTGATTGTTTAGCAAGAAAACATCGTAAGTAACTGAGGTTTTGCACAAGGATATCGCGGAAAAATAGGTTCATATTTGAGAAATTACTTTTTTGTAACTTGAGAAATTATAATTGCTCCAAAAAATGAAAAAATGCATGTATTATAAAGTAAGAAACATCGTCACTTTTTAAAAGAATATTACGTTTTACTCTGCGAGAATCTAATTCAAGAAAGCTGTATTATTTCAAAAAAATTTTTATAAAGCTAGAAAAGCCATCGCTCTACATGAAGTATTTCGTATAAAAATTATAGATCGTTGAAATATTAATTTTTTTTGTATTAAATATTATTGTTTTACAGTACAATTCGATCAAAAAATTTTAATATTTTATTCTGGTAATCACAATACTTATTATATCACGTTACATTGATGTAACGTACATACCTCGCAGGATCGTTTGACTTCTTCAAAAAAATATTTTGGTATGCGATATAAGTAAGTATATACGTACACCGGAAGAGAGTCATAAATTGACCAAAATAAGGATACAACACAAGTATGTGTTTGTATTAGTCTTAAGTACTCTCATTCTTGATTGCTTTTGGTGAAGCTTGGGAGGCTTGGATTCTCCGACTCAGCGTGCGCATGGATTGGATCCTACCTTTCCGGTCGACAGCAGGTGGTGTTGGACGATGATGGCGGAAGATCGGCTCCACTGTTTCGGAGGAATCGGAGGGCGGGTGTCCCTCCGGTGTGTTGGGCCCTCTACTGTTCTCACTGTACATTAACGATGCCCCTTCTGTGCTGAGACACTGCAAGCATCACATATATGCAGATGATCTCACTCTGTACATAAAGGGCCGTTATAGCGAAGTGCCTCGTTTAGTTGGTGATATGAATGAGGACCTTGATGTGCTTGGTCTGTGGGACATCAAATGTGCCCTGGAAATTCATTCGGGGAAGACGCAGGTTGCGTGGTATGGCTCCCGTGGCTTTGTCAGCCGTATTCGTCATTCTAATCCACCAAAGGTTCGAGTAGGTGGTAATTTCATTGAGTACATCGATAGTTAGGTTCCTGGGAGTTATCCTTGATGGGCCTCTGACTATGGCGCAGCAGATTACGGAGACCAGTAGGAAGTGCTACGCTGCTCTTTCTCGATTGCGTAAGTGTGGTGACTCTCTCGTGCCTGAAATGCGTTTGCTGCTGGTAAGATCGCTTGTTCTCCCATACTACGATTATGCTGTCTGCCTGTTTCTTGGCTTGTCATCGGAGCTGTTGGTAAAAATGGGCTCAAGAAAAATGAGCACATCACACCCGCGTACATTCGCCTCAATCTCATGCCCTACAGTGTTCGTCGGGACTACATGTGTGTTGGCTTGCTTTGTAGCATTTTGAAATCTGGTGAGCCGCGGTATATATCTGAGAGGATGGTTTTCCCCTCATCTGATGCTGCAGGCTCTAAGAGAGCAAATACCCTGGATCTGGTTATCCCGTGGACGAGGACTGAGTTCTACAGTGACTCGTTTAGAGTTTACGCTGCTCGACTCTGGAATCGCCTACCAATTATCATTCGTGTGACCCTGTTTCAAGAGGAAACTAGCTGAATTTTTGCGGCAGGACCTGCACTTCCATTGTTCTTAAGGGACGTGTCTGTAAATTTTGTGTGTGTGATACCATTGTGTACTTAGTTATTGTTTTTAAAGACTAGTCCTCTGCCTATTTGGCTTATTTTAATTTGTTTATTTATATGGTTAATTATTATTATTCATTTTATTGTTGTTTTAATATTTATTTTATATACAGTCTCTTTGTTGTTGGTGCCTATGACACCAGTGTTAATTAGCAATTAACTTTACAATTGTATTAAATTATATGTAACGAGCCGAGCTACGAAGAGCGCACTGCTCTTGGCTCTTTCATAATAAATTCAATTCAATTCAATTCAATTCTTCGTCAGCGAACACCATATACTTAATGGCATATTTAATTCAATAGAAAACTTAAGAAAAGTTAGCCAAACATTATATTTATCAAATAAATTATTAAGACATGGATGAGTTGTTCTATGAATGCACATAATATAAAATTTTGATAATGCAATACGTATAGGTAGTAGAAATAAAACACGTTTTTTTGTTTTAAATGTCGAAAGATCTAAGATGATAGTATTTATTGTGTTCGTATTTTCATTCACATAAGGTGTAGATAAGTTTTACCCTTAGAAATAGAATTAATGGTAGTTAAAAATTTGTCGGATGTACATTACTTTATGTTGCAATAACAATGTCAAAAACGACACATTTGATTTTATGAAATAAAAAAAAAAAAAAAAAAAAAAAAAAAAAAAAAAAAAAAGTCTCGA